CGACTACGCGGCCGCCGAGACCTACCTGCGGCGTCGGCAGCTGCTGCTCCGAGGTGAGACACTCGTCGCGCCGGCCCCACAGCAGCCGGGACCCCCTCGGCCAGGACCCTCTTCGGGGGGCCGGAAGCCTCTCAACTTAGAACCTCTGCGGTCGGGTGATCCTTTTCAAGGAGCGGGAACCCCCTTCCCGGGGTCCTGACCCTCCCACAGGTCAGGAGTTCAAGACTAGCCTGGGCGACATGGCGACACCCCATATCTCCAAAAACTACCAAAATTAGCCAGGCGTAGTGGCGCGCTCCTGGAGTCCCAGCTACAGGCTGAAGTAGGAAGATCGCTTGAGCCTGGGAGGTAGAGGTTGTAATGGGCTGAGATCGCACTCCAGCCTGGACACCCACCCCGCCCTGGTCAGGACCCCCACTAACCCGGAACGTCTACCCAGGGTCTGGGCGTTCCCTTCTCTGGAGTCAGAGGCCCTCGACTTAGAGGCTGTGCGGTGGGGAGACCCCTTTCAAAGCAGGGGGACCCTCCTATTAGAGTTCAGGGAACCCCTGGGAAGTGGAGTGGGAGATCTCCCTGGTGGACCCCAGGGTCCCCGTTGATCCCAGGCCTGGAGTCCCTGATTCTTAAAGAAGGCCCCCAACTCGTGTTACCCAGGGCCCCACCTCAGTTTACCCCACAGGGTCTGCAGCGCTGAGTTCTTCCCTGGGGTAGGGTTGGGGGTCTAGTGGTATTTCCCGGTGAGGAGGTGGAAATGCATCCCAGAGGGGAAGAGATGAAGTGGGGTCACATTCTCCTGGGAGTCTGGGTCTTGGGCAGGTCTCTACTCTTCCCTGAACCTCAGTCTTTCTCACACCCCAAGCGTCCCTAGGATACAAAGGTGGTCACCAGTGAGCCAGGGACCACAGAAGGAGGCAGTCCATACCCTCACACCCTACTGTGTGGCTATGGGAGGGCATCATCCTCTCTGGGCTGCCCTGGCTATTCCTCCGGGCCAAGCCAGACCTCGCTATATCCGTCTGTAAAATGGGCCAGGAGGGAGGCAGACCAGATTCTCAACAGCCCCACTTTTTCCCCAGCGCTGCGGGCAATAGAAGCTTTGCGCATGCAAGAGCCACAGGTGCGGGGGACCCTTCCTTCCCCAGCAGTGGAAACAGAAGAGCAAGCGCGGTGGGGCGGGACAGGAAGGAGCCTAGGAGGCACTTCCCTTCCCTGGCAACTCGGAGAATTATTTGGGGCCGCTTTCACCTGAAGGCTGCCTGGACACTCAACGGCGACTTCCTTAAAACACTGGAGAGGCAGCCTGGTGCGGTGGCTCGTGCCTGTAATCCCAGCACTGTGGGAGGCCGAGGAGGGCAGATCACCTGAGGTCAGGAGTTCGAGACCAGCCTGGCCAACATGGTGAAACTTTGTCTCCGTTAAAAATACAAAAATTAGCCAGGCGTGTTGGTGGGATCCTGTAATCCCAGCTAGTAAGACAGAAGAATTGTCTGAACCCGGCAGGTGGGCAGAGGTTGCAGTGAGCTGAGATGGCACCACTACACTCCAGCCTCCGTGACAGAGCAAAACTCTGTCTCAAAAAAAAAAAAAAAAAACACTGGAGATGCGAGCCTGGTGGGCCTGCCTGCCTGTGGTTCCAGCTACTACAGAGGCCGAAGCAGAACGATCGCTTGAGCCCAGAAGTTCGAGGCCAGCCTGGGCAACATAGCGAGACCTCCCACCCCCCGCCCCATTTTTGTTTCTGTTTATTTTTGTTTTCGAGACAGGGTCTTACTCTGTTGCTCAGGCTGGCGTGCAGTGCCGTGATCTTGGCTCACTGCAACCTCTGCCTCCTGGGTTCAAGTGATTCTACAACCTCAGCCTCCTGAGTAGCTGTGACTACAGATACCCGCCACCACACCCAGCTAACTTTTGTTTGTTAGTTAGTTAGTTTTTTTTTTTTGAGACAGAGTCTCACTGTCACCCAGGCTAGAGTGCATTGGCACCGGCGCAATCTCGGCTCACTGCAACCTCTGCCTCCTGGGTTCCAGTGATTCTCCTGCCTCAGCCTCCTGAGTAGCTGGGATTATAGGTGCCCGCCAACATGCTGGCTAATTTTTGTATTTTTGGTAGAGACGGGTTTCACCATGTTGGCCAGGCTGGTCACGAACTCCTGACCTCAGGTGATCCACATGCCTTGGCCTTCCAAAGTGCTTGGCTTACAGGCATGAGCCACCGTGCCGGCCCCCATCTCTTAAAATACATAAAAATTGGCCAGGCGCAGTGGCTCACGCCTGTAATCCCAGTACTTTGGGAGGCCAAGGCGGGAGGATCACCGGAGGTCAGGAGTTCAAGACCAGCCTGGCCAACATGGTGAAGCCCCGTCTCTACTA